CTGCCCATGCAAACGATTGTTTGCTCACAACCCATCCTTCGCATCTCCCCACCTACTTGCATTCTCCGGTGCCCATGCGAGTCATCTTTCACATTTCTTGTCCCTTTATTCATCCATTTCATGCATGATCACAGATTGATCCCCCAACTGAAAACAGTATTTGGTGCACAACAAGCCAACGAGTTCAACCTCACTAAAATACATGACATGGCTCACCTAGTGGACGACATCGTGCGGTCGGGGGTACCCGTACATTATAATGCGAACATGTTCGAGTATCTCCACCAACCACTCGTGAAGCGTGCTTACAGAGCCACCAACAAGCGGAACGCGGAACCACAGATTGTGAAACATGATGTTCGGTCGCACATGCTCCGCTCTCTGCAGGCAGCCGATTCCAACTCTGTGGATGTTCCGCATCGAATGGTGGCTCTTCAAGAGGTGTGTATCAAATCGGCAGCATTGCTATGGTTTATTAAACACACCTCTGCACTGTCCTACCTCTCTTTTGCGTTTTGGGTTCCTTTTTGTCCAATGTAAACACCTTGCTTTCTCTCGCTCCAACCCTACCTCCCATTCACGCCCTCACTGCTATGGCAGGCCATTGGGAACGGTGTCAACACATTTGCTGCTGGTTCTTTCAACGTGAACTGGCGGCTGAACTGGGGTGATGCCTCTGATGCTTGGAAAGAGCATGTTGCTCTTGCCCCTGGAGATATGACTAGGTTGAAGACACTTCTGGGAAGTTTAGAGGAGGGGGGGATCAAGGTAAGCTCGACGATACATGTAAAGAAGGGGATGGCAATACCAGGGGACGAGGACTTTACTAGATACTCTAGTCAGGCCCATTACGTGCGTGCGATGCCATCATTCATGGACTCGCCCTGGTTCAGTGATGTGGCTGTGCTTGGGGAAGAAGGTGAAAAAAAGGTCATGTGGTATGCTCGGCTTCTCTGCTTGTTTGTCGCCGACGTTTTCACAACTGAGCGCGACGAGGTTGAGCAGCGGGAGTACGCTTTCGTTCGCTTCTACAAGGTCACAGACGAGGAGCACTGATCTCACTGCCCCGTGCTTACTTGGGATGATGCGGGGACTGAATACCACTTGATTGACGCGGAGACCGTTCTCCGTGTTGCTCACGTTGTGCCTCTTGGTGATGGGCGCTTCCTGCTCAACAAGTTCAAGTTCTATTGATTCATGACAGTTTCTACATTCATTTGATGCTGGATTGTTCATTTGCATCTGCACATAGGCTCCTAGTTGCTGAATCACCAATGACAATGGTGTTAAACCCACGGCGAGCATCCTAACTAACGCATAGGTTGAGTTAGTTTGCTGTGGTCCTCAAGATATTGGTTCACACTGCAGTAGTGTTACATCAAAAACAAGGTTGAATACCGTTCATGCCACAGCCCAGCTAGGTTGACTCAATTTGTTGCCAAACAATTAAACAACACCATGTGATGCTTTGTGTTCTGTTCTATCATTGGCACATTCAACCATGCTTAAAGGCATTAACTTTTTGCCTTGTTTCACTACTTTGATTTTTATAAAGGGGTCTGTACTCGATATCAGTCACCTCACCAATCCCAGCCGTACATTTTGCAGCCTCGATTCTCGAAGTCACACCAGCGTGTCACGACGAATCCGTGCTGGCAGTCGTGTTTCTCGAAGCACCACCAATCTATGTCCTCCCAAACCAGCGGCGCGAGTTGCGACACTGTTTCGGCAGATAGCCGTTCGCTGTTGCTGGCAAAAATCCGCTCGCTGCCAGTGTGGAACTGAACAGTAAATAATGACTGCCGTGCGTGTTGCCTTCCATCCAGCCCGACGATCAAACGTGAACGCGACGAGGTCATGTACAGTACCCGCAGACATTTTTGGGTTTTTGCCCGTCAGCACCGTTAATCAAGGGCTGATATATTACTGTACTGTGACGCCATTTTCTGAGCCGAGGAGACAAACTCGGGATAATGGAATTACTGCCCGGAAGTGCTTCCCGTGAGCATCACGTTGGATTGCCCACACTTTTGGGCGGTGGGTGTTTGATGCGCTGTCACGGCTGTTTGCCCACACTAAAAAAGGAACGGTGGGCCTCAATGCTGAGTTGTCATTTTTCCAACTCGGCAGTGCACATTGCTCCATTGCTATACAAACTTTGTGAAACTTTTACGTGCCCGGTCAAGCGCATAATTTGTAAGTTTCATGCTCATCTCCGTTTTATTTTGCTCCTAACGGATGGCTCGAAACTCCAGACCCTCAAGTTATGGGCACTTGTAAAAAGTTGGACTGCCATGCCCGTCCTTATCCTCCCCCCCCCTCGGAACCTGTAAAGCAGAGTTTGAACAGAGCCACGTCCTGCCTTTCCCCGGCCATGCTCCACTTCACGGTTCCGCCCTCACAGCTGAGCAGGTACCGTTCACCGCTTCTGCCGCGAGAGCTCTTACTACGCCAGTTTCATGGCTGACGCGATTCCCCTCACGGTAATGGTCCAACCTTGTAGCTCGCCAAACAATGTTTCCCCAGCATATTTTACAGCTGTGTTTAAATATTTTCCTTCCAGCAAGAGCCTAACTACCCGATGCCATGGCAGATGAAATCCCTAAGGCGCTTCAGAAGACTTTCGCCGGACGTAAGAGGCGAACAATTCAACCATCGGTCAAGCTGAGAGGATATCATGCGAAAGTATGGGGGGCTCGCCATACCAGCGCACAAGATGATGCGGAAGGGAGCGGTGGAGGCGAATCACTGTCGCAGCAACCCTTGGTTGCTGCCGTCGATGGCTCCTCGGAAGGAAACGGGGAGAATGCGCTTGGTTCGCAAGAGGAGCTCAATGTTGCTGGATCTGCGCTGCCACTTGCTGAACCTGCAGCGATGCAAGTTCAAATGGGTGAGTGAGTCGTGGTTATTGGCTCTGCTGCACATGCCGGCTCGAAATCCATGGTTATGTTTCCGTGTTGGTTTTCCAATCTTACAGATCAGGTTCCAGCCTCCGAACGCAATATCTTTCACAGAGAGGCGAACAACGTCAGGCCCAGCTCCGAAACGGAGCTCCGCACTGCCGTTCGTAAGCTTGGAGAGACGCTGGGTCGCTTGGAGAGTCGGCTTGCTGCCTCGGATAGGAGTCAACGGGAGATGATGGACATGCTGAAGGAGCTGATGATCCACGTGATCAAACCACCTTGGGCCGACGAAGCTAAGATCAATGTACGCATGCTGTGTTCCCTTTTTTCGCTCTGTTGTATTGTCCTTGTAAATAAAACTCAATTCTAATTACGTTTGTTGTCCCGCTGCAGGCATCAATAAGTGATGTTGTGGACATGTTCCTCAACGGGCCGAAGTTGTCGAAGAGGATGATATATCCTTCGGAAAGGGACTACAAGGCGGAGCTCATTGCTGACCTCGACGTGCTGGACAAGGAGCTTCGCTATTTCGAGTCCGTGTGGATCAATGGCGGCGTTGCTTCTAAGATTGTTACCCAGGGTAACAGTCGTAGGGGTAAGCTGAGTCCTAAGTTTCGTGAAGTGGCTTACCCTCTTCTGCGTGACATGTTTGGGGATCCACTTCCTAACACTGCAGAAGCGAGGCGCAAGTACGCCGACGACAACTGGACAGGTATATGCCTAAATTGTGTTCTGTTCACCATTGAAGCTTTTAAAGTGCTGACCAAAATTATGGTGCATCATTGCAGAGGATTTTGGCGTACCATGGCATGCTCGTGACGGAACACCATTTTCCAGTGATGCGTTCAATGAGGCGGCTGCCTCGTGGTACAAGGATGAGCCAGCAGTGGTTGCGCTCACCATCGATCAGATGTGCTACATGTTTCTGGCGGTGAGTCCGAAAATCCATAAATTGGGTTTCTAGTTGCGTTGTATCTTAATCTATTTTCCTGGTTGTCATCATTACGTTGACTACTGTTGTTTGTGTTGTCTCATGGTATGATATGGGCCTTTCAGGTGGAGCACAGCATGCTCACTGGAAAACCCAGCTTGTCTCCTGACAGCACCATCAACATGAGGGAGATGGACAAGAGGCAAGATCAGATTTCAAATTGGCTCAACAAAGCTGGAATCGTATCTGAGAGTGGGTTTTATGACCTGGGTGGTGTAGCACTGAAGGATTGGAATAATGATGGTTTGGAGCATCCTAGCAATGGAAACAGCAATGTGTAGTGAGTCTTTTTGTATGCAATCGATATAATGCTAATTTCTAATTTGCCCTCCCGATTAGAATTAATGCGCTGTTTATTTGGTATAATTTGTTTCTGCTGAATTTCTATTTAATAGCAAATATTGAATTACGAACGATATAGCTAGGTGTAGATACTTTAGTGTGTCAAGTGTTCCTGTTAGTGAGTGATTTCAATTGAAGCAAATCCCAGTGGTCACCAATATCAACCGTTACTATGACAGAATCGAGTGCTACAAAAGAACCCAACAATCTTGGGCGCGACTCCATTTAGGTTCCCGAATGGTTTGTTCCAATGTTCTGAGAGGAGGACGAAATGTGGTAACGCGCTTCTCGAAACTAGCAACACACGAAGAGCCTCCAGTAGTTTTCCCGCCGATTCAGCGACAGCGTTTCCCCCATATCTTCGGAGTACCTGCCACGCGATTCTGTTGACCCACAATCGCCCCTAGCCTATTGCGAGGGATTTTCCAGCACACAACACTCGAGCAAACAGCCGAACTATTACCAGAAATTTACCAGAGTAGTTCGTCCTTCGTCCGATGTCTCTTCGTCCTTCCTCTTATTCTCTTCGTCCTTCCTCTTATTCTTCTCGTCCTTCCTCTTATTCTTCTCGTCCTTCCTCCCATTCTCCTCAGCCTTCCTCCTATTCCCCTCGTCCTTCCTCTTATTCTCCTCGTCCTTCCTCTTATTCTCCCCAGCCTTCCTCTTATTCTCCTCATCCTTCCTCTTATTATTCTCATCCTTCCTCTTATTCTCCTCATCCTTCCTCTTATTATTCTCATCCTTCCTCTTATTCTCCTCATCCTTCAATCCTCATCCTTCCTCTTATTCTCCTCATCCTTCCTCTTATTCTCCTCATCCTTCCTCTTATTCTCCTCATCCTTCCTCTTATTCTCCTCATCCTTCCTCTTATTCTCCTCATCCTTCCTCTTATTCCCCTCCTCCCTCTTCCCCTCATCCTTCCAATCATGCCCCTCATCCTTCCTCTCTCCCTTCTCCCTCTTCAGCATCCTCCTCGTATTCTCCGCTGCCACGTCAGCATCCGCGGCTTCCCCCTGCAGCGCGGAGAGCATGGCGTCCGCCGCCATATCGCGAACAGTCCCCGCATGCGGCGACTCCTCGTTTACCTCCATGAGAGTGCGCATCTTATAACGGATCGCTCTCACATTCGTGTCTTCGCGCACGTCTCCCGAAAGCGCCTGGCCCGAGCCGAGCAGGCCATGCTTGAATATTGAGACGAGGCTGGGAATCACGGGATCTGCCGTCACGGCAGCAGGAAGGTGCACGGCGACTAAAACCGTACAAAGCAGCACCAAGAAAATTCGAAGCGCAGCCATGGCTGTTGGCGAGTTCGAACAAATTTAGCAGTATGAGTATTGGTGACCTTGAACGGATGGCTACTGATGGATATGATCGGAGGTACGAGCAGCTAAACACTGATGTGAGCTCACAATTGTGGGGGTGTCGCTCGGCTCGTGCGATAGTTCATTGCGCCGGCTAAGGAACTTCGAAGCGCGCGATTATTGGTGCGATTATTGCGCTGTGAAGGACGTTGTCGAGAGTGAGCAGCACGATGCTGATTGCGTCAGGTAAGGAGCTTCGAAGCGTGGGATTATTGGTGCGGTATTGCGCTGCGAAGAATGTTGTGGGGCGTGAGCATCCCTTGCATACTAGACGCTTCAGCTGGCTGTTTTGGTGGTGTGATTTCGTGTACTTGGTACACCAAGCTTTGAGCTTGTCGAACTAGAATCGCGGGGCTATGACAAGGTCGCCACCCACTGTTTTAAGGCGTGTGCAAAGTGCGCAAAAACTCGACGTCGAGCAACGTCGGTGAATTTCCACCCTCGGATCAAAGGTTCCAACCGTCACGATTCACCGACGTCCCTCGACGTCGAGTCTGTGCAGCACTTTGTACACGCCATTAGCGAAGGTCGAAATCAGAACTTCGGCGGGTTACCCTGGCAAAGCTGCAAATTTGGAAAATCAGGCGCCTCTGCTGGCTGTTCAAGCCGTGCGATTTCGTGTATTTTGTTCGCAAGGCCGTGTGCTTGGCGAAACGATAATTTTCAGGGAACTACAGCGAAAGCTGAAATGAGAACACCTGCGGGTTACCCTGGAGAAGCGCTTTGATCTGCCAATAATGGTGAAGCTAGGAACTTGGGATTCCCGAATTTCTAAGAGTTGGTGTTCCGCACCGCGTGGCCATCCATCCCCTCAGCAAATAATTGCACGATCCGTAATTATTCTCGCTATAGCACTTCGCGCCAATGAAGACCGCTTACGGTGACACAACGACATCGAATTGCTTAGAGAAGGAAGATACTGGATATGGACTTTATGTTGGCTGGACCCCACAGCCAACGCATGCAGGCAAATTTGCAAATACATGCACTTGAGCTGTTTTACGGAGGAACGAAAAAAAATGCATTTTTGTAAAAACACAAAACGACAGGCATGACAATGGAAAGAGCTCTGAAACAGGATGAATTCGAGATAGGCGAGAACCTTGGGCTAAAAATGGCTCGGAAGGGTGGAGGGCGGGAGGCATGGGGACAACTCGGATATCGAAATTGCTGTTCCTGTTGAGACAGATTAGCCCAACGGTTTCTAAACAGTATCGAACTCATCATTCAGCTTACGCTTGCGCAAAGCCAGCCTGTCATCTCTGTAACATGGGTTTAAACAGTGAGTGGAAGAAAAGAAACTATATAATTTATTATCTCACCATGTGGTGGCGCATCGAGCACCACAATGAACGCGAACAGTTACAATGCGATCCAAACCACTAAGAGAGAAAGAAAGAAGAAAGAAAGAAAAGAGAAAAACTCCTTGGATCATACATCAAGCGAGATCCTTACCTGTTCAGCTTTGGTCTGGGTGGTAGAACTGACCCCGGAGGAAACACGACCGTATCAACCGACATCGGCGCTCCATCCCCTCCCCCGGTAACCGCCGTAACCATCGTCACCTCACTCGGCGTCTCCCCTTCCGCCCCACTCCCCTCCACTGCCCCTCTCCCATCCCTGCCCTCCCCAACAATCTCCCCAGCCTTCCCTCTTCCATCGCCCCCCTCACTGTCCTCTATTCCTGGTTGGAGGGATATGCGGACTGCCTTGGTGGCCGGTGACAGGTTGCGGGGATAGTGAGGTGACTCTACTGAAGGGGGGAGATGCCTCCGCCCTGTATTAGCACCACCTGCTGCTGCTCCTGCCCCACCAGCCGTCCCGTCCCGTCTCGCATCACCGCCAGCAGTAGTACCGTTAGCAGCATCAAGAGCAGCAGCTGCAGCATCTGGGGCGATGGGCGCCAGGCCGACAGGGATGGAACCGGGAGGGAAGTCGCTGCCAGAGGGCTTTGGAGGCGGGCGCGGCAGGTCCTTGGGCTTGGTGGCTGGGGGACCTAGCAGGAAGTAGCTGGTGGGGGGTGGAGGGGGAAGGGAGAGAGACGAGGGGAGTGTGCGTGGCAGCGGTGGGAAGAGAGGGAGGGCGAGGCAGGTCCTTGGGCTTGGTGGCTAGCGGACCGAGTAGGAAGTAGCTGATGAGGGGGCAGAGGGGAGAGAAGGTGCGGATGACAGGCAGGTGGGTGTCACTCGTCATATACAGAAAGGGAGGGCGAGGCAGGTCCTTGGGCTTGGTGGCTGGTGGGCCATGCAGGAAGTAGCTGGTGGTGGGGAGAGATTGGGAGGAGAGCACTTAAGAGGCAAGGGGAGTGTAAGAGGCAGGGCGAGGCAGGTACTTGGGCTTGGACCTTGGTTGCTGGCAGGGCACGCAGGAAGTAGTTGGCGGGTGAGGGGGAGAGAGAATGCATGAGAGAGATCCTGTGCTGCAGGGCCTGGGTGGGCGGCCGTAATCCTCCGGGTCAAAGGCGGGCATGCAGGAGAGCAGGTCGAGAGCACCATCTCCTGCCATGGGGAAGCACGACTTGAAGGGCGAGTGACTGCACTGCACTGCACTGCACTGCACTGCACTGCACTCATGTGTAAGCCTATGTGAGCGCACCCTACCATCTTACCGATGCTGTGAAGCTTGAGCGGCCGTGATTCTCTTGTTGGGGTCGAAGGTGAGCATGCGGGAGAGCAGGTCGAGGGCATCGTCGCCAGCCATGGGGAAGTGCGACTTGAGGGGTGCGACTGCACTCCATGTGTAACACACTGCATGCATATGAGTGACACACTCACCGGTGCTGCAGGGCTTGTGCGGCCGTGATCCTCTTATTAGGATCAAACGTGAGCATGCGAGACAGAAGGTCCAAGGCATCATCGCCAGCCATGGGGAAGTGCGACTTGAGGGGCGGCGCCGGGCAGAAGTTGAAATGCACGTAGTCGGGCAGACACTGCATGTCCGGCCATTGGTCCTCCCGCGGCGTGCCCAGGGCAGCGAAAATCTTCCCCAATTGGTCAATGTCGCTTGATCCCTGACAGATGTGGGGGAGAGGGGAGCAGGAGAGAGGAGGGGGAAAGGAATTGCGGAAGTGGATAAGGAAGAGCAGCTCAGGTCAGGCTAGCTCAGGCGAAGGGAGGGGGATGCTGGCGTAGTGTATGTTCTTTGAGAGTTGTCAAAAAGCATACACGGAGGTGATTAAGGAAGAGCGGCTCAGCTCAGGCGAAGGGAGGGCGAAGGGAGGGCGAAGGGAGGGCGAAGGGAGGGCGAAGGGAGGGCGAAGGGAGGGGGATTCTGGTGCCACAGCGCAAACACCTGGTGGGTCAGCTTGCTTCCTGCCTCTGGTGTAAGCCTGGTGCCTCTAGGTGAGCTTGCTGACTCACGGAGCAGAGCAGAGCAGAGCAGCGCAGGGCAGAGGATACCTGCAGGAAGGGTCTTCTCAGCAGCAGCTCTGCAAACACGCAGCCAGCGCCCCACACGTCCACGCCCGACCCGTACGCCTTGCTGCCGAACAGCAGCTCAGGGGCGCGGTACCAGAGCGCAAACACCTGGTGGGTGAGCTTGCGGTCGGGGCTGCCGAAGAGGCGGGCGAAGCCGAAATCAGCAATCTTGAGCTCCCCTGTTGGGCCTATGAGGAGGTTGTTGGGCTTCATGTCCCTGTGCGGGTGATGGGGAGGTGGGGAGGTGGGGAGTGGGATGGTTGCACAGGGGACAGGAAGAGGGCGGCCAGGGAGAAGGGACAGGGGAGGTGGTGAGGGGTGGGACTAGGGATGAGCAAGGTGGCGAACACCTGTTCGGTTCGCCTCGAACGTGTTCGAGGCGAACCGAACAGGCTTTGTTTTTTAGCTCAAATCGTTCGCCGAACAGTGTTCGATGTTCGCCCGAACACGTTCGTGTTCGGGCCGCTGCTGAAATTTGCCCGCGACGAACACGAACAGTGTTCGAGGTTCGCCCGAACACGCCTCCACAGGCGAACAGCGAACACCTGTTTTTTCCTAAACTGTTCGCCGAACCGAACAGTGTTCGGTTCGGCAAAAGAGGGTGTTCGACAAGGGGCGAAGACGAACATGTTCGTGTTCGCCCTTTGCTCATCCCTAGGTGGGACAGGGGAGGTGGTGAGGGGTGGGACAGGGGAGGTGGTGAGGGGTGGGACAGGGGAGGTGGTGAGGGGTGGGACAGGGGAGGTGGTGAGGGGTGGGACAGGGGAGGTGGTGAGGGGTGGGACAGGGGAGGTGGTGAGGGGTGGGACAGGGGAGGTGGTGAGGGGTGGGACAGGGGAGGTGGTGAGGGGTGGGACAGGGGAGGTGGGGGCGAGCAGGAACCCTTCTATATCGAAATCACTTTTGAGAATTCTCGTGCCCATATCCTCGTGCGCATGAGGCTACCTCTGCTTTGCGAGCAGGAACCCTTTAGTGCTATGAGCCGATGATTAGCCTTCATGTTTCTGTGTTGCGGGGGAAAAGGAGGAATATGGAGAAAAAGGCAGAGAGGAAAATGGGATGTGGGTCAATTGCACCTACCTGCGCAGCACCCAATTCCTGTGGCAGTACGTACGAGCCCCTCGACAGTCATGTCTGTACCCCCAGTATAAACGTTTCTAGCCCATTGCACTAGCCTAATGCACCCACCTGGGGAGCAGCACCCACTTTTGATGGCAGTATGCCAGCCCATTTTTGAGGCGCCTCAAGCATAGGTACGTGACCCTGTATAGCACACTGCACCAGAGCAGTGCACCCATCTGTGCAGAGTCATCCATTTCCCGACACCCATCTGTGCAGAGTCATCCATTTCCCGACACCCATCTGTGCAGAGTCATCCATTTCCCGACACCCATCTGTGCAGAGTCATCCATTTCCCGACACCCATCTGTGCAGAGTCATCCATTTCCCGACACCCATCTGTGCAGAGTCATCCATTTCCCGACACCCATCTGTGCAGAGTCATCCATTTCCCGACACCCATCTGTGCAGAGTCATCCATTTCCCGACACCCATCTGTGCAGAGTCATCCATTTCCCGACACCCATCTGTGCAGAGTCATCCATTTCCCGACACCCATCTGTGCAGAGTCATCCATTCCCCGACACCCATCTGTGCAGAGTCATCCATTTCCCGACACCCATCTGTGCAGAGTCATCCATTTCCCGACACCCATCTGTGCAGAGTCATCCATTTCCCGACACCCATCTGTGCAGAGTCATCCATTTCCCGACACCCATCTGTGCAGAGTCATCCATTTCCCGACACCCATCTGTGCAGAGTCATCCATTTCCCGACACCCATCTGTGCAGAGTCATCCATTTCCCGACACCCATCTGTGCAGAGTCATCCATTTCCCGACACCCATCTGTGCAGAGTCATCCATTTCCCGACACCCATCTGTGCAGAGTCATCCATTTCCCGACACCCATCTGTGCAGAGTCATCCATTTCCCGACACCCATCTGTGCAGAGTCATCCATTCCCCGACACCCATCTGTGCAGAGTCATCCATTTCCCGACACCCATCTGTGCAGAGTCATCCATTTCCCGACACCCATCTGTGCAGAGTCATCCATTTCCCGACACCCATCTGTGCAGAGTCATCCATTCCCCGACACCCATCTGTGCAGAGTCATCCATTTCCCGACACCCATCTGTGCAGAGTCATCCATTTCCCGACACCCATCTGTGCAGAGTCATCCATTTCCTGACACCCATCTGTGCAGAGTCATCCATTTCCCGACACCCATCTGTGCAGAGTCATCCATTTCCCGACACCCATCTGTGCAGAGTCATCCATTTCCCGACACCCATCTGTGCAGAGTCATCCATTTCCCGACACCCATCTGTGCAGAGTCATCCATTTCCCGACACCCATCTGTGCAGAGTCATCCATTTCCCGACACCCATCTGTGCAGAGTCATCCATTTCCCGACACCCATCTGTGCAGAGTCATCCATTTCCCGACACCCATCTGTGCAGAGTCATCCATTTCCCGACACCCATCTGTGCAGAGTCATCCATTTCCCGACACCCATCTGTGCAGAGTCATCCATTTCCCGACACCCATCTGTGCAGAGTCATCCATTTCCCGACACCCATCTGTGCAGAGTCATCCATTTCCCGACACCCATCTGTGCAGAGTCATCCATTTCCCGACACCCATCTGTGCAGAGTCATCCATTTCCCGACACCCATCTGTGCAGAGTCATCCATTTCCCGACACCCATCTGTGCAGAGTCATCCATTTCCCGACACCCATCTGTGCAGAGTCATCCATTTCCCGACACCCATCTGTGCAGAGTCATCCATTTCCCGACACCCATCTGTGCAGAGTCATCCATTTCCCGACACCCATCTGTGCAGAGTCATCCATTTCCCGACACCCATCTGTGCAGAGTCATCCATTTCCCGACACCCATCTGTGCAGAGTCATCCATTTCCCGACACCCATCTGTGCAGAGTCATCCATTTCCCGACACCCATCTGTGCAGAGTCATCCATTTCCCGACACCCATCTGTGCAGAGTCATCCATTTCCCGACACCCATCTGTGCAGAGTCATCCATTTCCCGACACCCATCTGTGCAGAGTCATCCATTTCCCGACACCCATCTGTGCAGAGTCATCCATTTCCCGACACCCATCTGTGCAGAGTCATCCATTCCCCGACACCCATCTGTGCAGAGTCATCCATTTCCCGACACCCATCTGTGCAGAGTCATCCATTTCCCGACACCCATCTGTGCAGAGTCATCCATTTCCCGACACCCATCTGTGCAGAGTCATCCATTTCCCGACACCCATCTGTGCAGAGTCATCCATTTCCCGACACCCATCTGTGCAGAGTCATCCATTTCCCGACACCCATCTGTGCAGAGTCATCCATTTCCCGACACCCATCTGTGCAGAGTCATCCATTTCCCGACACCCATCTGTGCAGAGTCATCCATTTCCCGACACCCATCTGTGCAGAGTCATCCATTTCCCGACACCCATCTGTGCAGAGTCATCCATTTCCCGACACCCATCTGTGCAGAGTCATCCATTTCCCGACACCCATCTGTGCAGAGTCATCCATTTCCCGACACCCATCTGTGCAGAGTCATCCATTTCCCGACACCCATCTGTGCAGAGTCATCCATTTCCCGACACCCATCTGTGCAGAGTCATCCATTCCCCGACACCCATCTGTGCAGAGTCATCCATTTCCCGACACCCATCTGTGCAGAGTCATCCATTTCCCGACACCCATCTGTGCAGAGTCATCCATTTCCCGACACCCATCTGTGCAGAGTCATCCATTTCCCGACACCCATCTGTGCAGAGTCATCCATTTCCCGACACCCTTTTTGAGGCGCCTAAAAAAAACTCCCCTCCTCCAGGGTCATAAGCATGGGTTGGTAGCCGTCTCTGCACTCTCAAGAGCGCTACCAACCCATCCTGTGGTACCATAGCACAGTGTGAGTGACCCATCATCATCAGCAACCTACAGTCCAGTGTGGGGCAGGAGCACAAGGGGGGGAACCAACCTGTGCAGCACCCATTTGCCGTGGAGGTATGCAAGCCCCTCCAGGGTCATGCGCATGAAGGCCTTGACGTCAGCTGGTGACAGGTGCAGCGATCGATCCTTGATGATGTTCTGAGGGGGGGACGAGGGTGGGAGGGGTTTGGAAGAAGGGGGGGGGGGGGAGGAAAGAGTCATGCGCACGAAGCCCTTGATGTCAGCTGGTGACAGGTGCAGCGATCGATCCTTGATGATGTTCTGAGGGTAGCAGGAAAGGGTGCAGCAAGCGGTTCTTGATGATGTTTTAAAAGGGGGGGAAGAGGGGGACGAGGGGGAGAGGGGGGGACTGAGAGAGAAAGGGAGTGCGATGCGCATGAATGCCTTTGATGTTGCAAGTTGATTGGTGCAGCGAATCGAACGATCCTTGGTGTTGTTCTTCTCGGGGTGGGTGGGTCAGCGTGCGTGGTGATAAATGATTCTATTAGTCAACTAAGAAAACGACTCATTACATGCGGTTATCCCCCTCGATGATGTTCAGCGTGGCAAAAAATGCATGTCACTTTGAGGTCTGATTGTGCTGAACAACAAGACCAAGTTCAGGTTCCGTTGATGCCCATAGATAGATAGATGTCAATGGGCTGCTCGATGAGAGGCTGGTGGTGCAGTGCAGTGCAGCTCTCTCTTGAGGCGCCTCAAAAGCTTGATGCCAGGCTGGTGAAGCAGTGCAGCGCAGCTCTCTCTGTCCTGCTCTCTCTCCATTCAGGTTCCTCAGTTAGTGTCAGCACAGGCTCACAAGGTGACTTTTGAGTCGAGTCAAAAGCCAGCGCAAACTCTTTTGAGTCGAGGCTCACCTCCAGATCCATCTCTTATGCAGCGTTTGCAAGATTGCAACTTTGCACCGTTCGTTCATTCAAAAGCGTGCTGCAACGACACCAGTCGTTATACGTCGATGAGCTCGCTCGATCGTGTGTGGGTGGTGCAGCTCCTGCAGCACCTTCATCTCCCACAGAGCCGTCACATTAATCTCACGCCCTCCTTTTCCCCCAACATGTTTGGCTCACCTCCAAGTCCGTCTCCATAAACTCGAGCACCAAGTTCAAATTCCTCTTATGAGGATAGATGTCGATAAGATTGATGATGTGTGGATGGTGCAGTGCAGCTCCTGCAGCAGCTTCATCTCCCTCAACCTCCTTAACCCCCCCCCCAAAAGGTTCAGAGCACTCACTTCTAAGTCCGTCTCCATGAACTCAAGAACGACTTATGAGGGTAGATGTCGATAAGATCAATGATGTGTGGGTGGTGCAGCTCCTGGACCTGCAGCAGTTTGATCTCCCTCAGAGCCCTCCATACCTCCTCCTTACCCCCGCCAAAAGCTTTAAAGCACTCACTTCTAAGTCTGTCTCCATGAACTCAAGAACAAGGTTCAGGTTCCTCTTGTGAGGGTAGATGTCGATGAGATCAATAATGTGCGGGTGGTGCAGCTCTTGCAACAGCTTGATCTCCCTCAGAGCCGTCACCTTGTGGGTGGTGGCGCTCCTTAGTGCCCTCCTTGCCCCACACAAGCCCCACTCGCTCTCACCTCTAGATCTGTCTCCATGAATTCAAGAACAAGGTTGAGATTCCTCTTGTGAGGGTAGATGTCGATAAGATCGATGATGTGTGGGTGGTGCAGCTCCTGTAACAGCTTGATCTCCCTCAGAGCCGTCACGTTCACGCCCTCCTTGCAGTCGCCCAGATGAATCTTCTTTATCGCCACTGTCCTGCCCGTCTGCCACACAAGGGAAGCGTGGAAGGTGGGGAAACATGGGGAGGAGTGAGGAACGGAATAGGCAGGGGAGGGGGAAGGAAGGGGAGTGCAGTGCAGCAGCTTGATCTCCCTCAGAGCCGTCACATTCACTCCCTCCTTGCAGTCACCCAGATGAATCTTCTTTATTGCCACTGTCTTACCCGTCTGCCACACAAGTGACAAGCATGGGAGGCAATTACACGGCACAAGGGAAAGAACAACACAACAGGGGGAGAGGAGGAGACTCAGCAGGTCAGCCTTCCTCAATTAACTTAGAAAAACTTCAGAAATTTTGAACTAATTCAACGTTTGTTAAGTAAACTTTTAGGCCTGTCCCGTTCACCTTGCACCCGCCCAGCGGCCCTCCAGGTAAGGTAACTGGCGCAAAAGGCTTCAGCTGCCTGGCTTGTGTCGCATTGAATGATGCTGTTGCATTGTGTTTCATGTGCCCTGAGCCTGACTGGAGGTGCTTCGAATCACAGCGTCATAAATAAACTCCCTTTGACCTTGTGAAAATTGACAAGTGATTTTGACGAACGGAGTTCTGATGCGTCTCAAATATTGTTGTGGCGATGAAACGGATGTGGAGGAGGAAGATGAAACGGAGCAGACCATTCCCCCCCCCCACCCAACGACGATTGTTCATTCATTGGCGCACATCACATGGGTGTCTTATGCCATTGAAAACAACGCTTCCTTCCCAAGTACCACCCCCTTAAAGCCTAAATGAGCACCCAGGTCTCACATGTGTGTCGTATGCCTTAAACACGACTCCGAACGTTCCCTTCCCAAGAGTTACGCCCTTCACGTACCGCCCTCCCCCTGTTAGCCGCCCCATTTTCACGGGTACTGTCTGTGTTGAAGAGGGACACGAGGAAGCAACGCAGGGATGGAGAGGGATGGAGAGGGATGGAGAGAGGGGAGAAGGGTGGAGAGGGGAGGATAGGGATGGAGAGGAGGGGGAGAAGGGTGGAGAGGGGAGGAGAGGAGAGGTATGGAGCGGAAAGGATGGATATCACCCCGTGTGATGTAGGCTGGCCTATTGTGACAGCGTTGTCTGCCAGGCAGGGATGGGGAGGCAGGGATGGGGAGGCAGGGATGGGGGGGGCAGGGATGGTCGGGAGGGTGGGAGTATCCCTGATGATACAGCTTCGCATGTGGGTACGGTATGGATCACACGTGCCAGCTTCGCACCTGATGATGAAATGTAATTCGCAATAGACAAGGTGGAAAGGATTAAGGCAGTGGCACGGCATGTGGCGGATAGTGGAGGGGAATGGGGACTCTCATGCGAAGGAACACAGGATATGGCGGATGGGAGGCTAGCTCAGCAGGGAGGAGGGGGAGAAGGGTGAATGGGGAGGGAGGATGGGGAGGGAAGGCGAGAGCAAGGGGTGCGGGACGAGTTGCAGACGTGGCTGGGGATTGGGGCACAGGATGGTGACAGCAGGGGGGAGAAGAGGTGCGAGAGGGGAGAAGAGGTGCGAGGGGGGAGAAGAGGTACGAGGTGGGGGAAGGCGCAGCGGATGGGCGCAGCGGATGGGCGCAGCGGATGGGCGCAGCGGATGGGTGCAGCGGATGGGCGCAGCGGATGGGCGCAGCGGATGGGCGCAGCGGATGGGCGCAGCGGATGGGTGCAGCGGATGGGCGCAGCGGATGGGCGCAGCGGATGGGCGCAGCGGATGGGCGCAGCGGATGGGCGCAGCGGATGGGCGCAGCGGATGGGCGCAGCGGATGGGTGCAGCGCGAGAGGAGCGAGGGGAGCGAGGGGCGCGGGAATCGCCCACCGTTGAGTTAATAGTCAATTCCGTAAATCAATGGTCTTACAGCTTTTGAGGATTCTTAAACGCGTTTAACGGGAAACGAAGCAATCGCGGCGGAAATAGCAGAGAAGGACGGAGGAGAGAACTGTAGCATTCGAATGCGAGCATGCTACAGCGACGAGCGACGGAGGATGGGGACATGCTACAGGGCCGCATTCGCACACCTGGAAAGCACGCCGCCGTTTTCAGCTCTGCAGAGATCCTGAAAACGGAGGCCGTGCGAGGTTCTTCCTCCGAGGTTCGTGTATAGTAAAGGGCGAAAACGGGAGGTGCGCTGAAGTATGGACCCAGGAACGAGAGTTGCTAGGCGGTGTGGATTTAGTTGCTAACATATCGCGTTGGATCAGCCGCAACTGTTCATGTGACAGGATACGCGCTATGTTACATTCCATCATTAACGTTGCAGTGTAGCCCCACTAATTGTTTAACCAGATTCACCTAGTATATAGTTATTCTAAATTAATGTTTGCTCTACTTAAAGACCGAGTCTAAAATGGTAAGGCCTCAACAATACTGAACTTGAAACTGGTTTAGCGAAGGGTGAGGAGAGCAGAATTCGCATGAAACAGGTGGCGCGTTTCAAGAAACTTGAGGAAACATAAACCACAAACAAAATTTCAGGCGCCTCATCAAGCAGGTCACACCACACAAGCTCCCGAAGTGCAGCGCCCAGCCTACTTATAGAAGGACTCCAACAAACTAAAAACACACTCGACCTGCAAAACCATTCGCTTACCTACTTGACGCAAGGCTTGGGGACGATCACATAGCGTCACGCTCACCAGGTTTAGGCAACACTAGGACGTGCACACATGGTGTCCACATGGAGTCATTTTTGGCAATTACAAACCGCAAACATATTAGGCCGATTTTAGAACGTTCCAGTCCAGAGTCTGGGAAGGAAGAACGTTCCCTTGTTAGCAGACAACAAACGCTGGCTCGCTCAACTTGTGAAAGAATGAGGAATGAGAGAAGAGGGGGTTGCACTAGCAGCAGTTGGCATACATATAGGAAACCCTAATTGGGTTGTACTCCCTATAAAGTACCCCACTGCAGGCTAGACAATTATAACATTCTGACACACCCCCATAGCCAAAGTGGGGTGTAATCAGCACAATGAGCAAGCAGACATAGAGCAGGAGTTCACAATAGCGAGCAAAGCTAGAGTTAATCACAGCGGGCAAGTGAGGAGGAGGAGGAACTGTGGAAGGAGAGAAGATGGGAGGCAACGACTGAAGCTGCAGAGGCACGGGCACAGGAGCGGCTGACTCAGTGGCTACCGAAGCAAGGGCGACGGACTACTGGAGTAACTGGCTCCGCGGCTATAGACGAGCGGCAGGAGCAACGGACCCATTAGCGACTGGTGCAACAGGCTCACTTGCTACCGAAGCAAGGGCGGCGGACTACAGGCGCTGCAGGCGACACGACAGCTACCTTCACACAACCTCCTCCAGCTGCCCCACACCCCTCGACACACACCCCCTGCTCAAACCCTAGTTCCACTTCCACAGCACCCCCCTTTTACACACCCCTTGCTGCACCCTAGGTTCACTCACACCCCACCCCCTAGCACCACTCCGTCGACTCCCACACACCCACCCCCCTCAGCGGCAGCTGCAGCAGTGGGAGACAGAGGAGGAGGAGGAGCAGGGGAGACCACACACCCGCCACCCCCTACTTGCCACCCCCAAACCCTAACACAGGGCAGGGCCGGGCGACGGGTAGGGAGGTTACGGGGGGGGGGGGGGGCGACGCGCGGCCTCCTAGGGCGCCAAAACAGGTGGCAGAAGGGGCGACGCTCGCCCCCCCCCCCCCCCCCAGGTCGCGGCCCCCAAGGGAACCGCGACGGGCGACGGGAAAAGAGGGGGGGGCGGTGCACGTGCCCCCGGTGCGCCGCGATAGGCGACGGAGCATGGCCGGGGCGGGGTCGGGGCAGGGTCGAGGCAGGGCCGAAAGGGGCGGCGACGGGGCCGCAAGGGGCGGCGACGGGGCCGCTGGAGGCGGCGACGGGGGCGATAGGGGCGGCGACGGGGTCGCGAAGGGGCCGTGAGGGGCCTGGAAGGGCGGCGACGGGCCGCTAGGGGCGGCGACGAGGCCGCAAGGGGCGGCGACGGGGCCGCGAAGGGGCTGCGAGGGGCCTGGAAGGGCGGCGACGGGCCGATAAGGGGCCGCGAGGGGCCTGAAAGGTCGGCGACGGGGCCGTTAGGGGCGGCGACGGGGCCGCGAAGGGGCCGCGAGGGGCCAAGAAGGGTGGCGACGGGGCCGCGAGGAGTGGCGTCGGGGCCGCTAAGGGTCGCGCGAGGGGCCGTGAGAGGGGCCTCTAGGAGTGTCGAACTATATATGCTCTAGTCTGTTTAGGCTGTAGTGGGGTAGTCAATATGCGGTACAACTCTTTAGGGTTTCCTACTTGTACTCCTCATGCTGCTCAATGCAATCATTCCTTCCTCAGATTCTCACATGGTATAGAGCAGGTTACTTAGTGGGAACGCTTCCCAAGGGCCCACCACAATTTTTTTTTTCCTGCCCGGAGCGCGCTTTGCCTCTGCCCGAGTCGCACCCCATATGCCCTACCTACCGTCGCGTCCTAGCCCTTAGCGGCCCGTCGCGCCCTCCTCACGCCCCTAGCAGCCGCCCTGCCGGCCCCGTAGCGGACCTTAGCGGCCCCGTCGCCGCCCTGTCAGCCCCATCGCCGCCCTGTCAGCCCCGTCGCCACCCTCAACGGCCCTGTCGCCGCCCTGTCGGCCCCGTCGCCGACCCGTGTCGGCCCCGTCGCCGACCCTTGCGGCCCCGTCGCCGCCTTTGCGGCCCCGTCGCCGCCCTAAGCGGCCCCGTAGCCGCCCGATCGGCCCCGTCGCCGCGCTCAGCGGCCGCGTCGCCGACCCTGCCGGCCCCGTCGCCGACCTTATCGGCCCCGTCGCCGACCCTACCGGCCCCGCCGCCGACACTCGCGGCCCTGTCGCCGCCCTCAGTGGCCTCGCTGCCACCCTACCGGCCCCGTCGCTGCCTTTGTGGCCCCGTCGCCGCCCTAAGCGGCCCCGTAGCCGCCCGATCGGCCCCGTCGCCGCCGTACCAGCCCCGTTGCTGACCTCAGCGGCCCGATCGCCGCCCTCAGCGGCCCCGTCGCCGCCCTACCCTCCTTCACGGCCCCGTCGCTGTCTCTACCGGCCCCTTCCAAGCCGCCAGCAGCCCGACAGCCGAGCCGCCGCGCCGCCCAACAGCAGAGTCGCCGAGCCGCCCAGCAGCCGAACCGCCGAGCCGCCCAGCAGCCGAGCCACCGAGCCGCCCAGCAGCCGAGCCGCCCAGCAGCCCAGCCGCCGAGCCGCCCAGCAGCCGAGCCGCCGAGCCGCCCAGCCGCCGAGCAGCCGAGCCGCCGAGCCGCCCAGCAGCCGAACCGCCGAGCCGCCTTTCCTTCGGCGCGTCCCGACCCTACTTCCTTGGATTGGTAAGCTCACTCCCTGATAGGCCGCTGCAAACATGGCTACCCCCAGTGTCCTTACCTTTGACAATGAGGGTCGTGCTGTTGACTTTGAGGTCTGGGTCAACGACCTCCAGCTATTCTTACAGTGCGATAGGGCGGACGGACTCTCATTGTTCGATCTCACCTCTGGTGTCTCCCCTGCCCCGCCTGCTACTGCTAAAGGCACTGTTCGCTCACAGTGGGCCACACGCGATGCTGCTGCACGCCTTGCTGTGCGTCGCCGCTTACCGACCACTGAGCGTGCGCACTTTAGCCAGTACAAGAGTGCTAAGACCTTGTACGATGCTGTAATTGCACGCTACTCTTCCCCTGCCACTGCTGCACTTAGCCGCCTCATGCTGCCGTACCTGTTCCCTGACCTTGCTGCCTTTCCCACAGTCGCTGACCTCATTACGCACCTCCGCACTAGTGACACTCGCTACCGCGCTGCGCTTCCCGCTGAGTTCTGTGCCAAGAACCCCCCCCCCCCCCCCCCCCCCATGTACATCACCCTCTACTACATAGTCACCCGGCTCCCTGACTCCCTTCGCTCAGTCAGGGACCACTTCCTCTCAGTTTGCCCCACCACACTCACTGTTGACCTCCTCAAGGAGCGCCTCCTAGCAGCAGAGAAGAGCAAAGTCCCTGTAGGAGCCTCTCGTGGTGACCCTCGCACCCCCGTCTTTGAGGGGTGATCTTCCTCCCCCCTCTTGCCCTCTGTTGCTTCTGCTGCTGCGGCCGACCTCGTTGGTTTCTACGGGGTCGGCGCTGCGTCTGTCCCTAGCGGGAAGCGCCGCACCGGCAAGGGCAAGGGGGCCAAGGGAGCTGGGGGGGCTAGTGGGGGCAGTGGAGGTGGTGGTGGAGGCAGAGGAGGGGGTGGGGGTGGTGGTGGGAGTGGTGGTGGGGGTGGAGGTGGCGGCGGCAGCAGTGGAGGCGGAGGAGGCGGCGGTGCTGGCGGAGGGAGCGGAGGCGGCGGCGGTGGCGGAGGCGGCGGAGGTGGCGGAGGCGGCGAAGGCGGCAGTGGAGCTGGTCGCGGCTCTGCACAGAGGAGTGGCTCCGGTGGTGGTCCGCGCCAGCAGCAGCAGCGCAGTAGTGAGACCATGTCCCCTCAGCAGCTTCGTGAGTGGTACGCTGCGCGTCAGCGGGGTGGGGGTACTGGTCCCTGCACCTACGTCCTTCGTACAGGCGACCGCGCTGGTGAGCAGTGCGGAGGCGCGCACTCCTCCCAGAGCTGCTTTGGCCGCCTGATGGACGCTTGGGGTCATCAGTTCCCTAACTCCTCAGAGATCCCTCGCTGGGGAGAGCTGTCTAGGGCGGGGGTTGCCATCTTTGATCTTGACTATGATGCTATTCTTGTTGCCATGTATGCTGTGTCTGTTAGTGATGAGGGTGACTGTTACCTGTGTGTTCCGCCTGACCCGGGCATTGAGGCTGCTGCTCTAGGTGCTGGTGAGGCTGCTTCTCCAGGTGCTAGTGCATCTGCTGCCCCAAGTGCTGGTGAGTCTGCTCTCTCAGGTA